TACTTTTACCGAAAAGGATATACATTAGACTCAGTACTATTCGGAAATGCCCATGCAACTGCACCTGTAAATATGCAGATTCTTGAATCTGTTCATTTATATATCGTAAAATCAGGCAGATTTGACGCCCTTTTCTCAATTGTCTGCATCCCAGTGAATGTCACCTATTGCTCTCATTCGATTTGAATCGTTTTGACATGAGTTGACCAAGTTATAAACAAGATGATACAGGTAGATAGTTCCATATATTGAACGAGTTTCAAGTCCTCCTCTGGAAACGAAAATGTTACGAAAGGTTAATTGGATACACGCGTAACCAATCACTTTTTCAAAACCTATGCGACAACGTCCAGCTGTAGCCTTTACTTTACTTTTATTCTCAATAGACCACCAATAGTGGTATAAGAGTACATATCACACACATCAATTATTACATACAGTCAAAATTGCGGCGGAGGGTAACAATATATTGTAGAAGACCAGTTGTTGGTATAACATGTCTATTATCTAACTTTTGTCAGAAGAAAACATGGCGGAAAAGATGGGTTTTGATAGATATTTTGATGGCAGAACAGGTTTGAAATTGGCGGACCAAAATGTCGCTTACATTATAATAAAGGAGTTGTATATCCATATAACTTTCCCCGTTGTTAAGCACACCAACTTCTAAATGCCATCCAAAGAAGTTCACTATATATGGCTAGACCAGCGTTTAACTGCGTACTATTTTCAGCTTTGATTAGACGAACGCTTGGCTGCATCCTTTATTTGCTTAGATTACACCATTGACTGTGGAATGGTTCTGTTACTACATTGAGGTACCAAGGTGCTTTACTGTCACGTGTGTCTCCTCTATCTTTGGGTGGGAGCGAATTGGGTTCATGTAGGTGAAGTTCTTCAGTTAATAAATTTCATCGTCTTTATTAATTCAAAGAAACTACAGCTGTATTTTGATCACCCTGAAATACAATAAAGTGACATAAACATAAACGGTTATGTTCCCATGCCTCATTTCTAATTCCTCCACCTATAACCAAACAGCGAGAACTGATAATTATTTTTGAATTGTCTACATACGGCTCATTTATAGTGTCACATACTTCAAAACTCTCTGAATGTGATGTACATGTAATAAACTGAGCTGCAAAAGAAACGCAAGCTCCAATTTGTTTGAAATGTAAGTGTAACTCACCATTCCATTAAGTTGGAATTGAACTGATGGCGTACAATATAGCGTCACAAAACCATCAACAATGAACCTAAAACATGAATATTGCTCTTAGGCGACATATATTTCAATTCACACACTCACTCAGTGATTTTATTTTAGGATGATGGTTTGGATGTGGTTGATTGTCTTAGTGCTGGCCACTCATGGTGGAAATCGCCATGAAAATATACTCGTCACAATGCCTTATTTGTCATAGGTCCCTCCCGTTCATCTGGCACTTCCGACACATTTCTCACACAACATCATAATTCAAAGAAAACCATAGAAAAAGAACCAGTCAGACTAGAAAATTCGGAAACTTTTGGAAGCAGTACACATCAAGAAGATACGATCCGCTCTCAACAGAGATGAAGGATAGTACATTCCCAATGCCTACCATCACTTGATAAAGTAATCAATAATATTTCTTGTGTACATTATCTGTTTCAATTCAACTATGTACATCAAACCCATCTTTTGTATATACATCCACCTGGCATCCTATAAATCCTAATTCAGTCCTTGTATATCACCCTTCTGGCTTCCAATCAACTTACTCAATCTCTTCTACAAGCGTTGTACATCAACCTCATTTAATGTATAAACAACTCATTCCCTATCTACTGTAATAACAACTCCTGTATATATTCTCTCAATTTGTTACTCATGTATCACTTGCTTGACAACGACATTAGAATCTATGTCGAAACGTCGCCTCCACAGAATAAAAGAAGTTGTATATCCAATATAATTGTCATTTTTCTTCATCAACTCAACATCTAAAATGCCCATCAAAGAAACAATTCAATTGGTTGGTGTGATTAAGTTTGTTAAGACAATTCGAATCCAGTTATGTCAAAAAATATGTAATTCCTTAAGTCACATCACAAAATGAACGTTTCCGTTATTTCACGATATGACTATTGCATACGTGCAAATTGCATGTCAAAGGAAAGTCTACATCTCTATTAGACATTTTCTAAACTTCAAGTCATACACCGCCATTCGTGGGCAAGAACATAACTGAAAACCATTTAATACTATCCAGAAATTACGATGGCGACTGAGCTCCCGTTTGTAGTCGATCATGCGCAGACAGCACTGAATTGTGGGTAGTATCGCTTTCTCGCTTTCTCGCTCTATCGCTTTTTCGCTTTCTCGCTCTATCGCTTTCTCTCGCAATGATATCGCTTTCTCGTCTCGTGCTATCGCTTTCTCGGCTCGTGTTATCGCTTTCTCGTTTCGCGTTATCGCTTTCTCGTCTCGCGTTATCGCTTTCTCGTCTCGTGTTATCGCTTTCTCGTCTCGTGATATCGCTTTCTCGTCTCGTGATATCGCTTTCTCGCTCTCGCCTCCGAATTTTAAGGCGAGAAAGCGATGGCCCTAATCAGCCACCATACTACACCGTGTGTACAAAATTGATGACAATACCTACTTTCCCAGAACAAAATGGGTGACCCAGCGTTAAAATCACCCACCCTCCAACCATAATGTATTTACGGTCCCGAAACTCGCGCCAGTGTCCAAGTTTACAACATGGGAAACTGTGTAAAACTAGTTTGAGGAACTTCCGCGCATCTGACGGAATAGCGAAGACAGTTGTAAATATACACAGTATATACAATATACAATAGTACGCATTCCGATTTTGAATTCAATGCCTAGCCTACGGTGAACACCAAAATCTCACGGAGTTGTCCTAACTTCATTCCCGACTAATTATTATGATTATGTTTTACAGATTATAGATAGTATGCAGCAGAGAGTGTATTATTAATATAAAATCTCCAAAAGAATTATGAACTGTATTATGGTGTTCATTTATAGAAGCACACAGTCACACAATTACCATACAATCGCTAAAGGATCACCAAGCTCAATGTGCATTATACATAATATGCAAGTCGCTCTGAAGTTTTTATGAATAGAAAAAACGGCCTGCCTCAGCAATGATAAACTTTTCTTTCTTTTGTATTGGGAACTGGGGCAAACATAGTCTTACCTTTAAAGATGCGTTGTTCGTCTCAGGACTTGTGCTAAAAGTAGATTGTGTGTAGATTTGTTGCTTAAAACGCAGATACACTGATCCGATCGACGTAGGCCGGGAAGGAGAGTGATACGAAACCGTCGCCCGTTACACGTGACACGTGACAAGGGTTAAACTCAGGAGGGATTTATTAGCACGTATTATAGTTCCTCGTTTTTGTTTTGCGTTGCAACATACGAAGGTATGAAACATTCTGTCAGTCATTTCAAAGAATCCACCGATCAGTCAATTTGATAAAACTTTGTGTCGTGCTGATATATAGATCTTGCTGCACACTGAAAGAAAGTAAGGCATGGATATTGAATGTAGGCATACACCACCTCATTTCACGCCACAACTCATTGGCTCCAAATACCCATACGACAGTGTAATGCATTCTGAAACAATGTATATATTGCGCTTTTAACATGTTTTTGTTGACGTTCAAAAGAGGATAGTAGGGTGCTAGTTACTAAATTTAAGAGTAATCTAGAACTTCAAGATCAGGCGGAAAAGTCCAGCAAAGAAATATATACAATTCCCCCAAAAATGAAACGCATAACCCAGAAATCTGTTGCGACAATGGTGTATTTTTTAAACATGTATAACTCGTCCACAAATAGAGTTTAGTACATGAATTTTTTACAACAATTTAGAAGAAGGTAATGTCTATACAACCAAGTGGATAAGTGTAGTTAACGGAGACGTTGAGCGCGATGGCGACAACGTAGCATGGTTCCGACATCCGGTCTCCTGGCTCTCAGTTCAATCTCTTTCAACCTGTTCCGTACAGTTTGACTGGATATCCACCGAAGTCCAGGCACCCTGGCTGCTGTGCTCTCATCCGTGGCAGCACGATCACGCAAATGTAGTACCCGGATGTACCGCTTTGTTAGTTCAGTAACATGGACTGAGAACCAACTGGGTATCTCCATATCCCACGTTACCAGCACCGGAATAAATCCCTGAAAAACCTACACAAGTGTTCGTCTTCATTAAAACTACCATATACGAATACCTCTGTTACACTCTCACTCTATAGAGGTATTTCAGTACTTCAGTTATAATCATTTCCCCGTATTTTGTATTACTTTGCAAACCTAGGTTATGTTTTAATATGATTGTTTACAGTATAACATTTCGTTGTTGGTTAGATGGCTGACTTTGTGTGCTGGCGATTATGCAATTGGGTGTATGACTCTGTGGGTGTGGGTTCGAATCCCGGATGCAACTCAACCCAATAAAAGTACTAGAATCTGTACTGAGAATCCCAAACATAAGATTTGTTACATTTTACCACTTTCTATACAGAATTGTGTAATGATTCCGTTGTTGCGTGATGGTTTCACACTGAATTCTCTTGACTATACATTTCTAGTGAACCTATACATTCAATTGGAAGTCGGTACGTAACAATATACGAGTGTAAGATTATTCAGTAGTTAATAATATATCAATGATGAACACAAGGATACGAGAAAGATAATCAACAATTTTAAACTAGTAGTGAAACAGGCATACTAGTTATGAAAGTTTGTTGCCCATGGGTTCTTTAAAGTAAATGTGTCAACCTTATATGCACGATTTTCTTAGAATAGGGTGCTCATAGGTTTGTGGTATTTTAACTTTGCGAAAAACACGCACAGAAAGCATGTGTTTTGTACAACACCGTAAGACCAAGGGAGCTCGATGTGGCTACCTAACACTGGGTACAGGTCTCCTCTGCTGAATGCGTGTGTTTCAGGACAGTCCTGTCGCAGTTACTTCCCTTTAAAGATGGCTGCGAGGCGTAGCAAGGGTTACCATCAGTAACGACAAACGCAGGCCTTGTTCACAAGAAGAGTAAGTATTAATTATCGGAAAATTAGGTTGTTTGTTGAGTTTGCAGAACGGCTGCTTATACATGAAACGTGCTGATAAGACTTCATGTAGACACTGAACAAAGAGAATTCCCGGAAGTCAGTTGTTTATGGGTGTGAGGAGGCGAGTGCATTGAAGGTCTCGACACCATTCGTCACCACTCGCCTCTTTCCGTAACCTCCAAGAAGACTCCACTCGATACTTGTTATGTGCGAAAATACGACAAACCAATCAGAACGCGCGTAAATGACTGCGGTGCTTTGGTAAATATACTCCTGAGTACTTAAATCGTTTATGGCATTATGTCATTGTTTAAATAATCAGGGAAAATATATATCGTCATATTGAAAGTACAAGGAACTTCGCTAACAGGATTTTGCTGCCTATTATGAAGTTTTTGATAAGAATCATGCGATTGACGGTGAGCGATTCAAATACACGCACGTGCGTTTGTTGACACGACGGCTCTCATGAGTCCAACTGAAGGTATTTCTGGGGATCTTGAAAGCTTGCTATGGAGATTGTACGTGCGCTTCCAACATTTTGGGAAATGTAATTATAAATCGCTACAAGTTTCAAAACAATAATATTAAACATATATATGCATGTAATTGATCAACTTTAATCTTTAACATTGGGAATAGATTCTATATTTCACATCTCTGGGAATATTTTAGTCTGACATTTTTTTGGTCATTCATATTCTTTTCAGCGAATTCATTTAAAATTCCACTTGGGGTATGACAGCAAGCTTACGCGAATGTTCAGTTTGAGAAATATTTTAGAGTCATTTTTGAGTGTCTGCTTTGGGATTTAATGTAGCTTTTATAAATGTTATTTACATAATTAATAAAACAAATCCCTATGGTGATTATCAAACCCTATTTGGAAATATAAGGTGAATATCTGGTAATAATTACGTGAGAATAAGTCTGTAACAAATAAGTTTTTCTCCTTCTTTTATTTGTATCAAATAGGTTTAATTCTTTAAAAACACAAACAGCAATACAATGTATGATTACTTCGGTGATATTAAGTACCATTAGAATCAAACAAGAATTGAGTTATCGTTCCTGTTTAAAGTAGTTCTGATGTTCATGCGCCAATATGAAATCCTCCCAGAGGGGCACGAGTCGCTATTCGGCTTGTCCCGGAATAACACGAGTTGGTCACGAATGGTCTCGACAGGTGGCAGAACCATGACAATATGCCTTTTATAAGGAGTTTATAACTGGATACGATATTAGTATTATGATCTCTCAACTGACTTTTGTACTATGGTTACATTTATCACAAACAGATCCAGGAACCTGTGTTTGCTGGGCACTCGCACCTCTTTCTTATCATGACAGCCGCGTCCACAAGCGAAATCTAGACTATAGTCTATAGTCTGTCAACCTAACTTTAGGGACTGCATTTTTGCAAATATCCGTTTTGTTATTCGTTTCAATGTAAAAGTGTTTACATGTACCTTCATGTTTCTCCGTTACTTGACAGGAACCTATTTTAATGTCAGTTATAACTATCATTATTTTTTCGGGATTGTTTTGATCAACTCATTCTGGGCGTGGGTTCAATCGATGTAATGTTCGACAGATTTACTCTTGTGTCACTCTGTGTAAATCATACTCACTGACCCAGGACAGACACGACAACTATGTTGTCCCACGACGCAAACTCGCAAAGACCATGATTAAAAGCGTTTATCAGTTTTTTCAGGAAGGAAGCTGAAAGGGGTGTTCCCTTGTTATCATTCAAACACTTTACAAAAAGGACGTTGAAGGTTTACAAACGACTCGACATCCATAGTAAATCTGACCCGAGCTCATGCACGTGAAACACATGCCTACGTTACCTGTCAGACATTACATCAATTGAACCAACACCCGGAATGAGTTGATCAAAATAATCCCGAAAAATATTGATATTATTATAGTTAGATAGGTAATCTTTTTAGAGACGATCACCGTGTCTTTAAAAAAAGGTTCCTGTTAAGTCAAGGAGAATCACGGAGGTACATGTACACAACTTTTAAATTGAAACAAATAACAAAAACGATATTTGCACAAATAGATGCAGTCCAAAAAGTTAGGTTGACAGACTATAGTCTGTTGTAATGATGATTGTGTCACAATCTTATCAACCGGAAATGGATCAGCTGAAACTCGTTCGGTTTATGTAGTTTAAACCAATATTATTTTGCTGTAATATGTATTTGCTGTATATTTTTATTGATTGAAACATTGAGTAAAGGTATTGAATTTAAACTTTAAGCAAATTAAAATGAATAAAATTATAATTATAACATTTAATGAATCCAGTGATGCTTTTAATATTTCCCTGAACGAGAATTCGTTTGAACAGCGGTCTCAAACGAACCTTATGATAATGTAAAGCACGTCATGTTTGACCATGTTTCTACCATGGAGGATATTTTTTAACAATGTTAGTCCTAATTTAATTCTTGGATTTGTTATAGAGATTGCATTGATTCATACGTTTGGATGAACATAGGAGTATTTTAGTTCGTTTCGCGCATTTGGAAATTCAATTAAGGCAAATAGCCGGGACAGAAATAATATTTAGTTATATCGTTGGTTCGTTATAAGAGTGTTCGGCATAAGCATAGGTCACTGTAGTTGTGCTTCTTATTTCACTGAGGCGATGGGATAGCCTAGTGGTTAAAGCGTCCGCTCGTCACGCTGAAGACCCAGGATCGATTCCCCACATGGTTAATGTATGTGAAGCCCATTTCTGGTGTCCCCCGCCGTGATAATGCTGGAATATTGCTAAAAGCAGCGTTAAACCTAGACTAACAACTAGTCTCTGAAATGAACATATTTTACTGAAAAATGTTCATAGTAAAAAAAAAAAGCTGAGGAAATCTAGACTTGCCACATTTTCTAGACTTGCGTGGGCTTTCTTGGATATATTTGCTTCAGGGTCTGTACGACAGACTACGTAAAACCATACTCACTCACTCACTCTCATTTTACTGTTCACTGTCTCACATGCTGGGAAACCAGACAAAGTATTTGTTATCCATAGGGTACACAATTTACAAGGTTTCACTGTTGATGATGGAATTGGTGAGAAAGGATGAACCTTAATGAAACTGAATTCTTGTTACGTTAAATGTTTAATTCACAGATGGCGACAGCCGATGTAGAGAAAGTGAAAGAATTTCTTACATGCGGGATCTGCCATGAGCTGTACACAGACCCCTGTACACTGAGGTGTGATCACACATTCTGCAGGAAATGTGTCACCTCATACATCCAAACCAGACCTGATGCTGTTCAATCCAAGACCATCCCCTGTGCCTTTTGTCGACAAAATACCAAGGTCCCTAGTCCAAGCTTGCCCAAGGAGGAATGGGCGTGGCAGATCAAACCCAGCATCATTATACAGGGTCTGACAGACACACTGGAACATGGCAAAAAGCCAGATCGTGAGTCATAAGAAGTCTACATTTATGTATCATTGGAAGATAGAAGAATGAGTGAGTTCAGTTTTACGCCGCACTCAGCAATATTTCAGCTATATGGCGGCGGTCTGTAAATAATCGAATCTGGACCAGACAATCCAGTGATCAACAGCATAGGTCACTGAAGATCAATTCTAACCCGGATCTTCACTGTAATCTGTTGAAGAAACAAACGAGTGATGTTCACACACTCGGTATGATCGCACGGGGACCTGTGTGTCTTTGTAAATAATGATATTGTGCTTATGTAGTGTGTGATGTTTTTAAGTGAGTGAGGTAATACAGATTAAGGCAATTTCACTGTCTCTAAAATGTAATCTGTGGGTAATTCTGGACTGTCTGGTTGGGTGGTTAACCGAAAGGGAATGGGGAGAATTAACAAAATAATCAGGTTAATATAGGATTCGAACCTACGATCAAGTAACCTTGAACCACTAATGCAGCTCGCCATAGGAGTGGGTGAGTGAGTTTAGTTTTATGCCGCGTTTACCAATATTCCAGCATTATCACGGCGGGAGACACCAGAAAATGGCATCACACTTTGTAGCCATCTCGGGAATCGAACCAGGGTCTTCAGTGTGACGAGCGAACGCTTTAACCACTGGGCTACACCACTGCTCCACGCCATAAGGGTTGTCAAGAGTCTTGTTTGGAACTCGTAAGCTGTTTATATATTTTATTGCCATATTTTTCCAGTAACAGACTTTTTCTCTTGAATACAGGTACAAGCTCCCAGAGTTGTTTTGTGTGTGAACAGCTTGGGGAGACAACTCCGGCGACCTTCTGGTGTAGTGAGTGTGAGGTGACCCTCTGTGCCAGATGTGTCAACATGCACCGTGCAAATCCAGCTTCTCGGAACCATGAATTGTTTGATTTGTCTGCTGAGGTGAAAGTGAAGAAGAAAAAACGGATGGTCGCGTGTCAGGAACACAGAGATGATCAAGTGAAGTATCTCTGTAAAGACTGCAACAGACCACTTTGTCAATCCTGCTGTGTGGTCTACCACAGGAAATGTGACTCTGTCGTCACACTAGAATCCGAGATGTCCCGAATGAAATCCGAGCTGCATACCAGAGGCCTCGCCATACAGAATGATCTCAATGAAAAGACAAAGAAGATTGACAAATGGAAATCGAAAATTAAAAAGATACAAAGAGACAAAGTTTCCGTGAAGAAAAAGATTCAGTCTTACTCAGAGAAGATCATCATCGTTTTGAAGGATAAGGAAAGAGCACTTATAGAAGAAGTGGATGGCATTGCAGAGAAACAGATCATGGAGTTAAAGGCTGATGTAAAACTGGCAGAGATCGAGTTGCAGATGTTCAAGCAGCACCGAGAGTTCCTTGACCAGACCTTGGTCTCGGAGAGTGAGATGGACCTGTATGAAGCATGTCAAGCTTGGGAGTCAGGAAATGAAGAGGATACCGCACCAAAGACAGACAAATCAGAACGGAAGCAAATTCATAGCATCCGATTTGCACCGGAAGCTGATACCAATAAGCGCACCCTTGATGATTTGAAACTTGGGAAGCTTGACATCACATACACTCAAGGAGAACACAATGCATTGTCGTCAATGTTGCTGTATAAAACCGTGGACTTCAAATTAGAGACTGAAGGAAAATCTCCTCTCCTAAGTGAGGTGATCGTGCTGGTTGTGGGTGAAACATTGACGTTGGTTACTTCTGACAAAAATAACAAGTGTTTGAAATCTGCCTACACTCGCGACGATCACCAGCGTTTCAGTAAGCTCGATTTTGATAACTTTCCGCATGGTATATCCCAACTAAGTCACAATCGGGTTTTAGTGGCTGTTCCGAGGAGTCTTCAAATTGTAACGGCGTTGGTCACTCCCGACCTCGAACTGGAGAAGTCCATTACAACAGAGAAAGAGTACTTCAGCATTGCTGTTCTTAACGCATCATCATTTGCAGCAAGCTCGTACAGCAGTATTGATATACTAGACATGGCAGGTAACATCATACGGTCAGTCACTGGCCAAAAGGACGTGGAGCTTTTCACTTACCCAAACTACATGTGTGTCAACAGCATAGGCCACGTCCTTGTTTCTGACTTTGGTAAGGGGTCTGTAACGTGCCTGACGTCGGAGGGGGATGTCGTGTGGAGATACGCCCCCACTGGGGATGAAACACTCGAGTACGTTAGTGGTATAACATCAACCAGCACTGGTGATATTCTAGTCGCAGACAGGAACACGCACACCATAATGCAACTCGCAGCACCTGGCACGTTTGTGCGAGAACTTATTGGGCGAGATGATGGTATCAACGACCCAACTGGACTTCATGCCGATATAAACGGTGCCGTTTTTGTGTGTGATGGAAGCGTGATAAAACAGTTTGTCTGATCAACAATACATTAAAAAATACTGTTCAGTTCTGATATGCGTGAGAGATTTTGGTTAGTTCTAAGATATGTACATATTATTCAAACGGTGTTCGTGAGGTTCTTAATTTTTGTCTGTGTCTCCATCATCAGATTCTGAATTTTCATTCCGATGTGAAATTTCTTGGATCAGTTTCCCGACGCTGTAGAGATTTATGCCATGATAAAGGTCATCTTCGTCTACATTAGTAACAACTTGATTCCGAAGCAAAGCCCATTTATCTCCATCATAAATTTAAACGATTTAAAGGCTATTACCAAGCTACCTAAATTTTAAGATTTCGTTAAACAGGTGGCACAGTGTAAATATTTTATGTTTGATTTTGTTCCCATTGCCTCGTTAAGTTTTAAATATAAAACACATAAGAAGTACGAATGGCCTAAATGACACTTGATAGTATGAATATCCCAACTGGTTTCGTTTTAAGACTGTCGTATATTTATCACAGATTTTCGCAAGCTTCTTGTGTCGTCTCTTTCTGATAGTAATTCGTAAATAAACTCTTCTGACCTACACGGAATTGTAAAATGCACTGTTTTATTAGTAGATAACTGTTATGATGTTTCCTGGTGTTTTTTGGGTTTATTTGGCCGCTTTTCGTGACATCATAACATTATTCTGGAAATTTCTACAGTCTCAGAACAACCTTTCTTTCCGTAAACTTAAATAACCAAAGGTCAGATTCCAGGGTTGTTTGTATGTTTGTTTAAAGTATTTAAAGTTGCTTAAATAAATTGTTGTTGTGATTTAAGGATTCATTGCAATGGAAATGATAGTTGTCATTGAAGCCGCTTTGGGATAATCTCCAATATGATGCCTGTTAATTTTGTTCTTAAATTTTTTTTTATAATGTACTTCTCTTAACGTCTCTCCTAGTAATCAAATAAAGTATTTCATGTATGATAATTTTGTTTTGTATGGGTTGGATTGTTTATAGGCTGTCATTATTATGGCACATTCGAAGGGGAAACCCAAACTTTTCATCAGAACAATCGAAATGAAAACCTTATAACATCAAATTCTGTCTAATACGACTGACATTGTGTTCCGGTTGGGACTATCATAAACGTTGGGCTATCTTGGGCTATTCTGGCAGGTTAAATGGTATTTGGCTAAATACGAAAAGAATTAACAATCAAAATAATGTAATAAATTTTGGAAAACATTTAGGTATACTATGTAAGATTAGATGCGTTATCTTAACATCTATTTCGCCCTTAACGCCAAATGGAATCATATTCGGTCGAAAATAAAGGCTGGTTACCCTCTTGCATTGACGTTCTATATTGAACATGTTCCATGTTTAATAATGAACCACAACAATCAGGAGCATTATGTTAAAGCAATAACTGAGGGTATTTTGAGACCTCACGTACCACGGGAACTGATCCAAAGGTTAGTGATGGTTTACCTAAATCCGAGTTCTGGAGTGTTGGTGGGGTAGCGTAATGGTGTATGGGTTCGCTTGTCACGCTGAAGACCTGGGTTTGATTCCCCACATGGGTACAATGTGTAAAGCCCATCCCTGGTGTCTCCAGCCTTGGTGTTGCTGGTACTTTGCTAAAAGCGGCGTAAAACCATACTCACTCACTCCGAGCCCTGGATATGTCGAGGATGACGTGAACACAACGTACGGAAGCGTTATAGAGGACTTCACTATTGATGTCAACATGTTCTACTTTATATCTTGCATGGGGGTAAGCGTTCGCAGAGCCTCGGGTTCTATATCCATATCAGCACAATGAGTAAAACCAATTTCTGGGGTCCCCTGCCATGATATTGTACGAATTTTGATAAAAGCGGCGTAAACCATACTCACTCAGTCTATGTTCCCTCACCTTCGGTGCAGTAAGGTCATTTATGTTAAAACCCTGAACGTAACTGTATTCAATGCTGCTGTGTCAGCGCAACCGATGAAACTGGCCAGGTCAAGGCACCGAAAGCATGATGAGCTATCCATTCCATCGGGGAAGCATAGCTGTCACACGAACCTGCCGATCCGATGCCCCTTAGTTGGCAAGCATGGGATTCTTGGAACGTAGCTTTCTAGTAAAATGTTCATAACCAAAAGCACTTGTCATACACGTTTGTGATACACACTTGTGATACACACGTGATTCACATGATCATTTTGTGTATATCGACAGCCTCGAGGACAGGTCCGCCATAGCGTCATGTGTGTTTGTAGCTAGTAATAAACACACTACACACACATGTAGATCCTTTAACTACTTATACTTCTATTGCAACAATGCTTTTGTGGTTGTCTCCCTTTACACAGCTATCAAACATGGTCGAAATACCGTGTCAAGGATTGTTTGTATTACAATAAATCCCCTCGGTCTTATCATTAGCTGTGGAGCGCAATAGTGCAGTGGTAAGACGTTTGCCTATTACGCTGGAGGCCCAGGTTCGATCCCCGGTCGAGGTACCTAGGTTCGGGTCCCGAGGTGGGCACATTTGCGTAGTATCCTTGGACAAGATACTTAGATCAACATTGTCTCAGTTCACCAAGTTTTAAAATAGGTACCCGTGAGGATGTGCTGGCAATGTGAATGTTTCGTTCATTGGGCCTAACAGGCAGCATGGCTGTATACTCCCCCAGGGAGTTGAAAAAGGTGTCGGCAAGTACGACAGTGTCCTATGACCGGGAATATTTAGTACGTGGAGCCGTGAGCAGGCAATGTGCCTGGATAGGAGCGCCATATACGCGGAGAGTAACAGACAACAGCAGCAAGCATATCTCACGCTCAAGTCCTTGGATGATTGTGGGAAGATGACATGGGCTAGTCACATCCTGGCTCTACTCTTTCAATATGGATTTGGCTTTGTGGGGATAAGCCAGGAGATTGGGGATACAAAACATTTATATATACTTTTAAACAAAGATTACAAGACTGTCTGACTCAGAACTAGCACTTATCTCATTTAGAATCTTCCAAATGCAGTTTTTTACTCTCAATACAAGTCACTACTAAATGTTGAAAAATATCTGCTTTCAGCTGAAATACCATTATACTAAAAATAGCCATTGAAAGATTTAGATAAATCTAATCGCAATTTACTCCGCATTATTAATATTTTTCAATGTAATTGTTATTATGCATGCATATATCTGTACCCAAATTCCTATGTAGGTTGTATGGACCTGAGGCCTTGAAAATGGAATAAATTCTGTCTGTCTGTCGGTTTATAAGCGGACTAATACTGTTATTACTTTTTTTTGCACCTTTCCGTCACTGCTAATGACTTCTGATGGATCTGTTAGAAAAGTCTTTTAGTTGGATTCACAGCCCATTGTGAAAATACAGATTCAACAGATCATATCTTTTGAGCACCCAGACACTGAGTGTCCTACTTGAGAAGATGTCACGGATCAGGATATGACCAAGTGTTTGCCGTCCCGACTGGTTACTGATACAACTCACGAGGATATGTCAATCCGGAAACCTCTAGCTCCTGACTCACAACTTGGACCCGTGAAGATCCGGGGTAGAATAGGTCTTCAGCAACACATGCTTGCCACAAAAGGCAACTATGCTTGTCGTAAGAGGCGACTAACGGGATCGGGTGGTCAGGCTCGCTGACTTGGTTGACACATGTCATCGGTTCCCAGTTGCGCAGATCGATGCTCATGCTTTTGATCACTGGATTGTCTGGTTCAGACTCGATTTTTACAGACCGCCGCCATATATACTGAGTCAAAAAAGAAACTTCACAAAATGTAATTTGAAAAATAATGAATAATTTTTCTCTGATGATACATCTACGTATCCGAGATGGGATCCCTATCTGTCGACTCTAGAAATACGTTAGCAAAACCTACTCAAACCCATCCATTCGTCGTGCAAATGACGTTAGTGCCAAATCAGGTTTTGCACGTGCAGTCGATCACGTGATCTTCGCATCGAAGTTTTCTTAATATGCACGTGTTTGTATTTGCCTCAAGAATTGAAAAAACACTTTTAAACCACAGTTCTAACGGTACTTGAAATGCCACGATTGTCCAATGTGCAATGTGAACGTGCCGTTGGCATGTTGCAAGCGGGAAGATCAGTTATTGACGTCGCAAGAGCAATGGGATGCAGCCGTCGTACTGTGTATAACTTGCGAGGTCGTCTACAACAAACTGGCACCACTTCTGATCGCCCAAAGTCCGGTCGTCCACCTGTGACGTCACGAGCAGAAGACCGTCAAATCGTCCTACGTCACCTACGTGACAGATTTCTGCCGGCTACACGAACCAGGGCTGAGATGTTTAGAGGTCGACTGTCCTCACAGACCATTCGAAATCGGTTGCGGGCTGCCAATCTCCATTCTCGACGTCCATATCGTGGGCCAATATTGACGCCGTTTCATCAACGTCAATGTCTGCTGTGGGCCCAACGTCACCTCCGATGGACCCAGAGAGACTGGAATCGAGTCGTCTTTAGCGATGAATCAAGGTTTACCCTCAGATTTGCGGACGGCAGGCATAGAGTCTGGAGACGACGTCGTGAACGGTATGCCCAATGTTGTGTACAGGAAATCGACAGATTCGGGGGCGGAAGTTGCATGGTGTGGGATGTTTTCTGTGGGAACAACCGTTCCCCACTTCTGATCATCCGTGGAAACCTCACAGCTGCTGCTTACCGCGACCAGGTGCTCACCCCTGAACTCGTTCCTTTCATGACGGCTCATGGCCCAGGTCTACAGTTCCAGCATGATAATGTTCGGCCGCATACGGCGATGTTGACACGAAATTTCCTTCAAAACGCTGGAATCAACGTCATGGACTGGCCATCGAGGTCCCCTGACCTTAATCCAATAGAGCACGTTTGGGATGCACTTGGGAGAAGGCTTCGTGGTCTTAGGAACCAACCTCAGAATTTGCAGGAACTTGGCACTGCCTTGCAAGAGCAATGGCGCAGAATCCCCAAACACGTGTTCACAAGCATCAGGCAGTCGATGAGGAGACGGTGTTTGGTAGTGGTGAATGCGCGGGCGGCCATACACGATATTGAACTGAGAAATTTCGCATTTTTATTCCTGTGACTTGACATTCTGTATACCCATGTTTTGGAACGGCAGTGTAGCCTAATGGATCTGATTATGGCACTGTCAGTGTATCGAGTACATCACACAGATCTCAGCAATAAAATAATAACAATTTAACCATCTTACCATCTCTTGTTCTTTTATAGTGCCCTGAAGAAAGAATGTGAAGTTTCTTTTTTGACTCAGTATAGAGGGAATATTGCTGAGTGTGGCGTAAAACTAAACTCACTCACTCACTGTAAGGATTAGTGCGGTCCATTAATATTATTCCCAAAACAATAGTGCGTCTGTGTGGCGTTGGGATAGACTAGTGGTTACAGCGTTCGCTCGTCACGCTGAAAACCTGGGTACGATTCCCCACATGGGTACAATGCGTGAAGCCCATTTCTGGTGCCCCAAGCCGTGATAATGCAGGAATATTGCTAAAAGCGGCGAAAAACCAAACTCACTCACTCATTATCACATGGAGGATTTTGATTCGCTAAAAACGTTTTCCTAGTTGCCCACACTGTACGCTTCCTGGTTCTCGATCGTTCTGAACCCCGTGAAGGGGATGAAGGATATTTGATTCGTAGAAAGGTGATATAAGGATGGTGTCACGTCATATAGCAAGGTGAGTAAACATAACGTTTCCTTCACTATGGATAATGTGTTATCACACCACACCATCTATTTTACATCCCCGACATTGATTGGCATCATATGTCAGATATGATATGGAGGAATTAGTGTCATGGCATGTCACTGAACGTGCTACAGAGCAAAATCTCAGATAACCCGTGAAAATCCGGGTTAGAATTGACCTTCATTAACCCATGTTTGTCGTAAGAGGCCACTAACGGGATCGGGTGGTCAGGCTCGCTGACTTG